TCCTAAAATACTCACACACCGTTACTAATTCCGTTAAAATTTTAAGAATTGTCGTTAGTTCACTGTTAACTTACTCATTGATTTCAATAATAAAAAAAAAAAGGTCTTAGGTTCGAACCTCATCCCAAACAAAGTTGGCATAATTAGTACTCTATTTTAATCTTATTAAATTATATAAATAATAATTTAGTAGCTACAACAAAAAATTATAGATATGCATTTCTTTAATTTAGAATTATGTGTCCACAATGCCTTTATTCAAAAAAAAAAATATTCATTATCAATAAATTAAATAAGAGAAATAATTTTATTAGTTATATTGTCTTTATTTTTCTACAATATAAAAATTCTTTATATTCAAATTTATTAATTGAGTATATTCGCTACATTGTCCTTACAATGTCTTATTTCAGTGAAAAAAAAAAATTCATTATCAATAAATTAAATAAGAGAAATAATTTTATTAGTTATATTGTCTTTATTTTTCTACAATATAAAAATTCTTTATATTCAAATTTATTAATTGATTATATTCGCTACATTGTCCTTACAATGTCTTATTTCAGTGAAAAAAAATTATTCATTATCAACAAATTAATTAAGATAAATATTTTCATTAGTTATATTGTCCTTATTTTTCTCAAATGTAAAAATTTTTACATTCAAATTCATCAATTGATTTTATACACTACATTGTCTATTATCTTTTTTTTTTTTGTGCACTATGTTTTTAATTAAATATCAAAATTATAATACAAAATAATGATATATATTTATTTACCAAGTATTTTATTAATACCATGAATTTTTTTTAAAAAAATATATATAATTAAAAAAGTCAATCATATTAACTACTTGAGTGATTTGTTGACAAAGAGAGTATTCAAATCACACAAAAAATTGAAGTGAGAACTACCTTGCAATGTCCTTGTTTGATAATCAGCAGTTAACAGTTAGCGTTAGCAGATTATATTTGCATATTTGACCAGCAAATTATATCAATGGTTGGTAAAAAGATATTTGAAAAAATTAACTATTTAGATTAACATGTAAAATGACCTAAGGGTATACATATATTTAATAATAATAATAATAATAATAATAATAATAATAATAATAATGATAATTTAATAAAAGAAATAAAATTAATAAAGAAAAAAACATAAGAGGAGCCGAACGTTCGGCTCCCCTTAGGTTTGCCACTTTTCTCACATCGGTGGGAAAAGTGGCATGGGATCCTTGGGGCTCCTAAAAAGGATCCTTAAGGCTCCAATTTAAAAATTAAGCTTGTCCATCCGTTGATGGGCAAGTAGTGAGCCAGTGAAACTGGCTCTTGTTATTCGAGTCGAAATAGCTCTACAGTAAACATTTAAAAAAATATATATATAGAGGTGTTTTGGGGAAATCATTCTCAAAAACGCTAAGTGAAAATATAGTAAATTGCAATGTTTGTATTTTTAGTAGTTTGGAACAAATTGTTGCTTCAAACAGTTGAATAACCAAACACTTTCTTTAGCATTTTGATCTTTGGGTTACATCATATTTACCAATCGTCCAATATCTTTGGGTTACATTATAATTATAAATTTTTTAAATTTTTACTACATCTAAATTTAAATTCCTTAAATTAGAAATTTCTTTATCCATAATAATTTATTCAACAATAATGGTTGAACACTGAGCAAAACACCTAAAAGGCTGGTACCGTTAATTCATTCATTGATCTTGTATATATATGCATTTATTAAATATGTTAGAACCATTTGCAACAAATATACTTGGTTACTATTTAAAAGAAAATTTAGTAACAATTATAATGAATCTCCTATATTACATTGTATTCATATACTATGAGTTACATATTTAAATAAACAAATTCGATATTAAATTATTTATGTATGAACTTCTCAGATTGTTAAGATTTTAATTTTTCTTTGAGATTTTCTAATTTATCTTTAATTATATGATTACCCGTTAACTTTTTCGTTAAATACCGTTAGTCTAATTTTAATATTAAAGTCTAATATAGAATTATAACTACACCATTAATCTAATTCTAATATTAAAGTCTTAATAGAACTCTAACCATAAATCCTACTGTCGGAATCTCCTCAAACAATATTAGTATATATTTAATATTTTATGCCCTAATTTTGATTTGCTCTCTCTTATGTCCCGTATTTGGTTTCAACCATACCTATACAATTATTTTATTGACAATTAGAATCAATCTTGACAATATTATCTTGCATTTGTAAATTTAGAATAACCTATTTAAATACGCAAATTCAACATTCAATTATCTATTCATAAACAATTCCAATATAATCTTGCATGGATATACTTTAAAGTATTTATTAAAAAAAAAACATTGGGCATTATCCTAATCGCGCAATGCGTGTAAAAAACTAGTTTTCTTAATAAATGAAAAGTGTAATGACGGAAGGTTTCTCTCCACAAAATAATAATAATAATAATAATAATAATAATAATAATAATAATAATAATAATAATAATAATAATAATAATAAATAAATAAAAAGATTTTAAAATGTTGTTGATTAGGACTGATTTAATACCACTTACATAATGTTTTTTTAAAAAATACCACTTGCATAATAACTTAAAATTTTAACATTTAAAAATAATATTAACATTATTAGTGGCCTTAAAATTTTAGATATAAAGGTAAAAAAATATATTTTTATATGGAATGTTTTTGAGAAGTTAATTCAGACGTATAACCATATAAAACATATATATTTTTTATTTTAATTTTAAAGTTAATTTCATTTTATCCTAAATTTATAGGTGTTAGTCCACTTTTAGTCTTTTTTTTTCTTTTTATTATTTTTTTTTTCCAAAACACATTCTTTGGTCATAGTCTTATTGTAACATGACCATTTTTGGTTCTCTGTCAACTAGATTGTTTAAATGGAGTTAAATACATTCGCAGTTTGTTCTATTAGTTCTAAGTGTTAAGTCTTTTTCCTTTTATTTTTGGTCCTAGATTTATGTGTCATTCCACCTTTAGTCTTTTTTTTTTCTTTTTTTTTTTTTTTTTTTTCAAAAAATCCTTATTGGTCCTAACATTATTGTAGCATGATCACTTTTTGTTATCTGTCAACAAATATGTTTAAATGACATTAAAAATGACGTTATGTCCTAGAAGAAAAAGGAAGATTGTGAGTGATTAATAACGGCATTTTTAATGTCATTTAAACATATTTATTAACAAAGGATAAAAAATGATCATGCCACAATAATGTCAAAACCAACAGGGATGTATGTTTTGTAAAAAAAAAAAGACTACAAATCTAATGACACATATAAATCGAGGATCAAAAAAGAAAAAATACTTTAACACTTAGAACTGAATAGACCAAAATCCCTTATATTTAACACAATTTAAACGATTTTATTGGCGGAAGACTGAAAATGGTCATTCCACCATAATACTAAGATTAAATAAGGATATTTTTTCTTAAAAAAAAAACTTAAAAGCAAAATGACACATAAAAATAGAAGTAAATCTTAATTTTAATAACAAATATATCGGCCGGTTATGTTGATTGTGCATTGAAATGGTTAAAATAGTTTTTGCTAAAATACATAACATACGGTGGTCCTTGTGTTCACTTCTTAATTCTTATCAATGAAAACTTCAAATTTATACTGTTTTGGAAATTTCTTGTAATCAAGTCTAGAACACTGACTATATATCCTTCAATTTTGGATTGTTTTGACATATATAGGGATGCGGTGAAAAATGGTCTAAATGCAGGATACCTTTGCGATATAAAAGAACTGTGAACGATACTAGACCATATCATGCAAATCTTAGCACAAAAGGTTACAGATCTCTTATATACAGGTTTGTTTTATATACAGTAATACAAGTGTAGTTAATATGAAATAATGTTCTTTCAGAATGAAAATATTTATTTACTAGTTATTTGAATGAAAATTGAGTCAATACCATAAGTGATTTTCCGAATATAGTGATTTTGTCACGTTTAGTCCTAAACTTTCAAATTGATCACTCATAACCTTTTGATTTTCAAATTGTTACCATCCGTAGTCCAAGTTAACCATTCATGGTCCTTCAACTTTTAAAATTTAACCAGTTGTGGTCCTCCTAAAAAGTACCATGGTGTTTAACTTGGATCACATATGGTAACAATTTGAAAGTTGAAGGACCACGAATAGTGAATTTGAAAATGTAAGACTAAATATGACAAAACCACTATATTCAGAGGATCCTAGATATTATTAACTCAATGAAAATTTTATAATGCCTTTGAGGCAGTTTAATTGCCTACTACTATAAATCGAATGTGTTGTGGTATTTCTGTAAATAATTGTTAGTTTGTTTACAAAATTGACCTCACTCATTTCTATTTATAGTAGCAAGTATGATACTTTTTTATATTCAAGATATTTACTACTAAGTATATGTTTCAATGTTCCAATGATTTATCTTATTACTAATCTAAATAAATGATCATACCTATTTCTATTTCAGTGGAAATGCTGATTTGTATGTGACTTCATTTTATGCTGAAACATGGACAAAATCATTGAATTATTCTGTAATTGATGATTGGCGACCTTGGTGGATGAACAATCGAATTGTTGGGTATGTTATAAAAGTTCACTACAATAGATTTATGATATATGAATTATAATTAAGAAACGCTAATTAAAATGAAATCATTCAATTGTTATGCAGTTATACAAGGACCTTCTCCAACAACATGACATATGCCAAAATCCTGGTGATAATTTACTCCTAGAATGTTGTTTACTAGCTCAAAATATATCTATTTATGTATAACTCTTAGTTTATATTTGTAACAGGGATCAGACCATATTGCTCCAACAATAACACCTGCGGAATGCTTCATTATGTTTAAGAGATGGATATCACATGAACAACTTTAATATTGTATGACAATGGTAAAATATACATTAGAAGTATGTTTCCTTCAAAAACATATGGCTGTACTTGAGTTTTATTTTGATGGTTTATGATGAAATTCATGTCAACAAATACAAAATATTGTTATAATATTATTCTAATTGTTAAACAAAAATACAAGTAAAGGGAAGAAGGAATTGAAAGAGAAAAATTGAGAGAGCAAGCGGATCATCATCTATTCGATTCATTCTCTTACAAAGGTATATAGATACAAGGTAATACATATGAAAGGTAATTACTCTATTAGTTACAACTATTACCATATAATAATAATGTCCACAACAATATTTTGTTTACAACACTCCCCTTTGGACATTATTTGATATGATCCTGCCTCGTAAAAACTCGTTAGGAAAAGCCTGTGGGAAAAACCTAGACAAAAATAGTATATATATATATATATATATATATATATATATATATATATATATATATATATATATACATATATATATATATATATATATATATATATATATATATACATATATATATATATATATATATATATATATATATATATGTGTGTGTGTGTGTGTGTGTGTGTGTGTGTGTGTGTGTGTGTGTGTGTGTGTGTGTGTGTGTGTATTCAAATAAGGACAAGTATATTATAGAGGACTGTGAGGACAGATGTAGTGTGTGCCATTAACTGGTATGTCGTGTGCATGGCCGAATGTAGTCGTGTGTCATAGTTTGTATATCGCGTGCTAGATTTGTTAATTTATAGAGCCTGGGTTCGAAACCTGATGTTTACATTTATTCTTGTGTGCCATTATGTATTAAGTTGTGTGCCTTGTATTAATTTATTGTGTGCCCATTATTTGTCCTTACAATCCTCTATATATTGTTGTCCTCATTTGAACTCAACCCTATATATATATATATATATATATATATATATATATATATATATATATATATATATATATATCACTCATGCCTCGTTAAAAACTTCACTAGGAAAACCATGTGGGAAAAAGCCTAGTTGAAGAAAAGAGTACATGATATTTGTAAACTCATATATTATACTGATTGCCTCATTAAAAACCTTAACTTAAGAAAACCCTGTAGGAAAAACTTAGTTAAGGGAAAAAGAGTACAATCATAAGCCTTCAAGGCATAATCGGTATAATCTTCAGGATTTTGGGGTTTGTCTACTTAAGCAATTATTTTGCAACTTTTTTCCCATTTACATTACTATATCATACTCATGCCTCATTAAAACCTCACTAGAAAAACCCAGTGGGAAAATTAGTTGAGGAAAAGAATGCATGAAGTATGTGTATTCTTATTTTAGATTATTAGCTGCCTCATTAAAAACCTAAGATTTAAGGAAAATAGTACAGCCGTTAGTCGTCAAGACCCAATCTTCAGGATCAATTCATGTAAACTGATACTCCCCCTCAAGATAACAATCTTTAATTCTCATACATTAAATTTCCAAAATGTATAGAATAATTTGTAAATAAATATGTACAACTGTCAATAATATACTCTATAATAATCCCGTGACTCTTCTGGAGTTCACTTGGTATAATACTATAATATTGACATTACAATATCTAGTCAAACGAATTTCATTATATATCTTTTTATCATTTGTGCAACACAATCTTTATTGACCCTCTATGGGAAAATGAGGGTAAATATAGTACAACCAATTTTGGAACTTGGCATTATGGGGATACAAAAATAATAGCCAGTACCCAAGTAGCCATTATATATTTGTTTGTCTAAGTATCCAATCAAAATCATATATTGGCTAACTGGTGTATAAAATTCTTTAAGGAAAAACTCGATCTTTAAGTCGAGATAATATCAGCCTTTTATTAAAAAAATCTCCATCTTTAGACATGAACTGATATCATCAAGTTGTTTAGATATTTCATTGATGTTTACACTATCAATATTGACTACGATAATAAATAACAAATAAGTTCATTATCAACTCTTTATCGAGCACATAATGCTACATATATTCCTTCTTAATCAGGATAATAACTCCATTCGCAACTCTTTAAAGAGTAAATAATGACACATAAATACATATTCCTTCTTCGAGAGGAAAATACTCAGCCAATTCTTAATTATTTCAGGTCAAATAAAGACCTTAATATTTTAATGTTGCGATTTTCACTTTTTCTCACTTTGAGAACTTAAAATCCTTCGGGGACTTTTGAAATTAATATTAGTTGTATATCTAAGTTTATTATTCTGCCAATAATATTATGTCGCGGAACTTAATGCCATTTATCGTGGGAGAGTATATTTGATTAAAATCAATTAAGGGTCTCTGCGTGAACCCATAGGCTACAGAATCGCTTCATATCTTATCACCTCGTTATTCTTGTTTTTCTTCCCACCATTTGTAACCTACAGGGTTAATACCTCAATGGTGTACGAAAGGAATATATTAGCAAGTGCCTTTAATTGCTCTCTTTATACGTTAATCAATCTAGGCGCTTCTGGCACCTAGTTCTGGATCCAGATTGTCATATAATATGAGCAATTTGAAGGCGATTGTTTTGTCGAAAACTTATAACATTTTCAAGACTTTCTCCCGTATTTATAATCGTTTATGGCAATATTTAATTCAACCAGATTCTAGACATTTTCCACAACTATTCAGATCACATTTGGTTGTCCCGCATCCCTAGTATTATATTTGTTTGGTGCACCTATGAATTGACTAGGGTTTCTCATCACCTGGACGAGCTTCTCCAGGACAAAAATATTCAAGCTTTTCCAAGAATGACAATGTTTATTTGCTAGATCTAGTATTATGATTCTTATCTCTTGTCACCAATAGATTTCCTACATTTCTAGTGTCAAGGAGTATCTGTCGATATATTTGGTCCAAGTTGGGGAAGGTATATGGACCTAGTCACTATTTTATGATCACTATGATCAATAGATATGTTTGGCAGATTATTTGCTAAAGTCGCAAATATATAGATTATCTTTTGAACTTCTAGTTCAGTCTAACTAGTACGTGGGTTTTTTAACTAATGAAGATTTTTCCATTGCATGAAACTTCTCGGCATTTCATTAAATTTGGGCTCATCTCCCCCTAATGCCGTGAAATGATCTTCATGATGCATGTATGTAGTCAGCGTATCTATTGATCTCCTATAATGGGCTCTAGGTATTTAAACAACTGACGGAGGTTTATAGCCCAAAGAGATACGCGTGAGGTGGTGATACAATAAAATGGACTACATACTAAGACTAGAAACGCAGATCGGGAAAAGTATAATTCTATCACGCACTATGTGTATGGGGAATAATTACGATATGCAGTGAGTCAGATTTGAATTAATACAAATATCTCCAAAAAAATAGATAATTTGGTAATTTCTCCTTCACACATGCATTATAATTTACTCATATATGGGTAAGAAATTTCAATATCTGACTCATTATGTTTGCCCTAAGTGACCCAATTGTTCATGCCATAATTTAAAAGAATTTGGGTCTTTACAATTTGCAAAAAAAAAATATCGCAACATATGGAGTACTCATAAGTATATGCAATCATATATGTCCAAATAGAGAAAGCATACATATTAATTAAATGAGATTATACGAATACGCAACCATCTTAAATAGGTGATGTGGATCTTTGGGGGATGAACTCAAGATTCGATTCACCAAAGATTCCTTCGGTTGCCCGATCTTTTCCTCACCAAAACAGCAGGAACAACAATTACGGTTTGAGGGTGTTGGAGATGGAATTGGTTGATGTAGGGGTCGGTTTGGGGGATTATTTTTGTGTTTTTCTATAAAGATATTTCCGCCACACCTTGGTCCTAGGTGATAAGGAATGGATGGCACCACAAGATTGGTATTATCTTGATAAGCCTAGAATAACATCTCTCAACACACAAGAGAGACAACAAAATGCCTAAGCATTTCTTTCATTCAACTTCATTCATCTCTATCTTTAAAATTCTGATTGTTCTTAGCCTTTAAATAGGCTAATACATAACTCTCAAGGAGATCAAAAGACTCCATTACAAGGCAATGAATGGTATTCATTCATCCTAGACATGTAACCTAAAATAAATTAAATATAGCACATGAATAATATTAAAACTATACTAAATGAGAATTTATTTGCCTTAATGGATTGAGTTTAGCTTCATTTGAATTGTCCCAATGCAGCCACGAAAATTTGGACCATTTAGATTAATTCCTCACTTATTTTTGGCAAATTGCATGGATTAATCCATTTACAACCCGTCGCAATTTCTTAGCTTTTGAACTTGTAATTGTGACTTCTCTTATTTGTATGTTGATCTTTGAGCCTTTGGTTGTCCTCATCATTCCCTCACTCTTTGAGAAGATTCGTCCTCGAATCAAACTTGCCTCGGTCAAATAGAAATGAGTAAATTTCCCAACGTGTGAATTGTATGTCTGCATCAATGAAAGTGAGTGATCCCATGTTTCCTTGAACTTGGCACAACATTACCACAAATGCATTTAACTTTTGATGTCCCTTTGTCATGCTTCCAAACCTATTCTCAATCCTTGAATTACATTCATGAACATGCAATAAACTTGAAACAAAGATTATTTGGTTCTCAAGGTCTTCTCCCTCATTCTCTTTCTCACAAAGTTCATAAGACAATTCTTCTTCCTCATCTTCACTTTTTTTCTCAATCTTTCCTTCTTTTTCACTCAAATATTCCTCATCTTTGTTTTCACATTTGTGTTCACACATGTTTACATCCTCATTCATTACTTTTGAGCCCTCATCATATGACAAGGAAAAAGGTATCAAATTCTCAACCTCTTTTTGCTGCAATTTCTCTTCAATTTGTTTGGCATTGTATAGTAAATTAAACAAGCACTTGCACCGATGAGGAAGCAATCGTGCAATTTCTTTTCTAACACCATACACAAATCTGTTCTTAGTAATCATAGCTGGTTCAATCACGCCATCACGGATCATCAAATCTCTTAACTTATTGTAGAATTCTTCCACACTAAGAGATCCTTGTTGAAGTGTATTTAACTCAAAAGACTCCATGGATAATATGAAACAATGAACAATAAACTAGAAAACACAAGGAATGGCAACACAAATCTGGACAGATTTTAAGAGTGACTTTGAAGAATTTTCTGGAATATTGTGGATGATATTTTGACCCAAACTTTTCATGAAACTAAAGAGTGGTAAGTTTTGTACTTCCAAAAAAAATTTCAAAGCAATTGGATATGTGGAAGTATTTTTTTTGGAATTTGTTCTCTCAACAGTGCAGGCTGAAATGTTGACAGAAACTGTTCTAACAGTGGCCGGAATTCAACGAATTTTCTGTGTTTATAGGAATATGATTTTAACACAAAACTTTCATGAAACAATAGAGTGTTAGGTTGGGTACTTCCAAAAAAAATTTCAACACAATTGGATATGTGGAAATATTTTTTTGGAATTTTTCTTTCAGAAGACGCAGGCTGAAAATTTACTGCAGAAACAAATGAAACAAGAATTGATTGGTAGAGTGTTAACCTCTTTTGTGTGAGGAATGAACCCAAAGCTCTGATACCAAACTGATACGGATCTTTGGGGGATGAACTCAAGATTCGATTCACCAAAGATTCCTTCGGTTGCCCGATCTTTTCCTCACCAAAACAGCAGGAACAACAATTACGGTTTGAGGGTGTTGGAGATGGAATTGGTTGATGTAGGGGTTGGTTTGGGGGATTATTTTTGTGTTTTTCTATAAAGATATTTCCGCCACACCTTGGTCCTAGGTGATAAGGAATGGATGGCACCACAAGATTGGTATTATCTTGATAAGCCTAGAATAACATCTCTCAACATACAAGAGAGACAACAAAATGCCTAAGCATTTCTTTCATTCAACTTCATTCATCTCTATCTTTAAAATTCTGATTGTTCTTAGCCTTTAAATAGGCTAATACATAACTCTCAAGGAGATCAAAAGACTCCATTACAAGGCAATGAATGGTATTCATTCATCCTAGACATGTAACCTAAAATAAATTAAATATAGCACATGAATAATATTAAAACTATACTAAATGAGAATTTATTTGCCTTAATGGATTGAGTTTAGCTTCATTTGAATTGTCCCAATGCAGCCACGAAAATTTGGACCATTTAGATTAATTCCTCACTTATTTTTGGCAAATTGCATGGATTAATCCATTTACAACCCGTCGCAATTTCTTAGCTTTTGAACTTGTAATTGTGACTTCTCTTATTTGTATGTTGATCTTTGAGCCTTTGGTTGTCCTCATCAATAGGTTAAATGCCAAATAGATGTATAGATGGTGAGACCATTCAAGATCTCAAAATTTATTTTCTCAATTTATGATGAGGCATCATCATCAAATATTCACAATTTGTTTGCTTTAGGCAAACCAACATGATGTGATTCACTTTTGGCTATCAATCACATAGCATTTTTGCAGATCAACATAACATTAAAAATAGAAGTTGCAGACTTCATTCATGAGTCATTAGTCACCCAAAGGTCAATCCCCATTCGAGGTCTTCCAGACCTTATTAGATAAATAGCCCAATCACTGATATGAACCTAGTCCAAGGTTCAAATAAAGATGGAATATTGTCCCAAGATTACTCTCAATGCAAAGATAGAGATGGATCAAAATACCTTAAACCTCACGAGAAACCCTTTATCTCGAATCCTCAAAGACTTGGAAGAATCCCATGTAGCTTCAAGTACCTTGATGTTGCATTCTTCAATCAACTAGAGTCGGATCTAGTTTCCTTCGATTCAAGAACGAGTCCACGGACCTAAATCTAAGGTTGAAGAAAGTAAGATTGATTCGAGTCCACGAATCAATTTGCTAGTCGAGTCCACGACTAACCACTAATTGAGTCCACAATTAGCCATAAGGTTTCTTACACAAGTGTAAAGAAAAACTTAAGAATTTTATTGAATTAAAGCCTCCTCAAAACTGATATGGATGTGCCCT